GCTTTGGAGTCCTAAACCTTCGCAGCCCAAGGCCTCAACTCCCCCAGCTCCAGGAGGAGGAGGAAGGAGAGGTGGAGAGGCTGCGGCGGAGTCCCAAAAATGTATGTGTACTGTATTTAAATTTTGCAATACAGTATCCCTTTTTTGGATAATTCAAATTTTGGATAATTTGCATTTTTTTTTACTGGTCCCTTGGGGTTCGAATTATCCAAGTTCCACTGTATTAATGTTCTCAGTAATGGTCTAAACACCCTAAAGATCCCATCTGATCTTGCAAGCTAAGCAGACTAAGGCCCGACTAGTATTTCTTTTAGCTATTTAAAAAACAACAGCACCAGTTTATGCTGTAAGCTGCTTTGAGACCTAAATTAGGAGAAAGGTGGAATATAAATCAGATAGACAGACTCAAAAGAAAACCAAGTGTCTTAGGCTATATTTTTCAGGAAGGCAATGACAACTCAGCTCTGAATATTCCTTGCTTAAGAACACCCTATGAAATTCAGGAGTCGTCATAAGCTGACAAATGACTTGAAGGCACATACACACACATAATATTGTTAGTTCTATAATCATTATCATCACTGTTTTTTCACACACACATACACACACGAATTTCTGTCCTAATATGATAAAAGTGTAATAGAAAATCCCTCATGAAGAATTAGGATGCTAATTTCTACTTCAATCAGATAATTATATGGCTGCATTTCTGTGGTCCCTGTAAATTTCTCAGTAGGAGGGAACAAGCCACCTCAACTTTGTTCTACTTGAACTTTTCAAATGGATCACTATTTAGCTTGATGTTATATGATCCTGAAAAGAACAGTGCCTATGAAAAGTCAAGGAGAAATCATACCCAGCATTTCATGTCCTTAAATAACCTGTACATTTTGTGAAACGCCAGGGAGATTTCTTAATGGAGCGGGAGCTTATGAGATAAAAGGAAGTGTTGAGAGCCAAAGGAGAGGCTGGAAGTTTGTCATGTATAACTTTCAAATTGCTAATGAGGAAAATTGAAATGAAATCCCCAAGACCTGCTAGAAGCCTATTAGTGTTTCTGGTGTGAGTATTTCACACCTTTTCCTGCTGCGGAGGAGCACCTAAATGAACACTGAAAGTGGGATCTAGACAAAATTAATGAGTTTTATATTTAAGCATGTACTTAACTCTCTCAGTGGAATCAGTGGGACTTAAAATGAGACTTATCTGGGACCATTTCTAAGTCATTGGAAGCTCTGCTATTTCCTCTAGTTCAAGCAGAATATAAGGAAAATAGGAAGCTTTTGTGATGCATGATAAAAGCCTGCTTTCAAACAATAGGTTCTATGACTGTATTTATTTAAATTTTAGATTTTAGAATTATTATATCAAGCTAGAGAGAGACAGTGTTGGACTATGATTCTGGAGACGAGGGTTTGAATCCCTGCTTGGCCATAGAAATGTACTGGGTGACCTTAGGCAAGTCACATTCTCTCTAAGCCTCAGCAGGAGGCAAAAGTAAGCCCCTTTGAACAAACCTTGTTCAGAAAATCCTGTGACAGGATCACCTTAGGTCAGTGATGGTGAACCTTTTAGAGATCGAGTGATCAAACTGCAACCCCAAAACCACTTATTTATCACAAAGTGCCACATCCATCTGGCTTTCTAGTAATGGACACTGGTGAACTCTGTGCTGGGGCGACGGCATGTGTGCCCACAGAGAGGGTTCTGAGTGCCACCTCTGGCATGCATGCCAAAAGTTTGTCATCACTACCTTAGGGTCTCCATAAGTTGGAAATGATTTGAAGGCACAGAACAACAATATCAAGCTATGTTGAAACCTATTGTATACAAAGCATATATATTTAAGTTGGAAATGAATGATGTGTTAGGTCTGAATTATTTTTCAAATAATAATAATAATAATAATAATAATAATAATAATAATAATAATAGGCAGGCACAAACAAAGTGGATTACTTAGGAGGTTCAGCTTGATGCATGCTTAATTGTTCCACTCAAATCAGGATTACTGACTCAACTACTCAGCAGTCTGGCTTAAGAGGTAGACATTTTTACATTTCACAAAGGAAATAGAAGGAAGAATAAAGCAGATCCTGAAACAATCTGCCCTCTATGTCCTGTATGGTTTCAGGGAATAAAATAAATCAAGTAAGAACACAAATTAAATCAAGCACAAATAAATTTAGGAAAACCCAACTGGTGTCTTTCTGCGAATGGAAACTTGCCTACATCAGGAGGAGGGTTGGTTCAATGATTTTCCCTCTCTCTACTCAGGAAATAATGACTGAGAGTCCTCCAGATGTCTCAGCATTGATGTAATCATTTTGCATCTGGCTATATGGACACAGTGAACTGCTTTTCTGATCTTGCCTTCTCCCCATGAGACTTCAGAGAATGTACCTTAAGTGCTGTGTGTATGTGCTTTGGGTGCTGTGGAGGGAGGAAGGGAATACCAATGTCTGTAGTTCCTCCACAAAAGATATATGCAAAAGGAAAACGCATCAGGCAATATATAGAGAGATCTTGTAGCACCTTTGAGACTGATTCTCAGATGCAGATCCTCAGGAAGTAGACTTTAGTCTATGAAAGCTCATGCTGTCAATTTCTTTCTTTCTGTAAGTCTCAAAGGTGCTACACGATCTCTCTACATATTGATTCTACAGATTCTAACATGGCAATATTTTTGATGTCAGTCAATGTGAATCTATGAACCACCCCTTAAATATGTATCTGAAGTGAATAATACAGAATCTGTGCTTCTGCTGTCATGCAAGCATTGGAATTTCGATATCCTGTATTGGCTAAGATCATTACACAAACTAGAATGATACAGCAAAGTACAAGCCATATATGTTTCTGGAAGCTTGACAAAAAACTAATATCTAAATTGGTACTTAGACTACACAAGTGAATATGCACTAGCTACCCTGGTTAAAAGCACGTATGTACACAATCCTCTTTTTCTGAGGGTTTGTAATTCATCTGTTCTTCATGGACAAGCCCACTTCTTGGGATGTTTGGTCCATCTTCCTTCCTCTCTGAGAGGAACAAGTCAACTGAATTCTGCTTTCAGCTTTCTGTCAAAATGGGCTGTTAAGTATGAAATTGCATCTTGTTCCTGTTTTTATTCATGTGGCAATGTTATAATGATGGATCTCCTTCTTTTCACAATGTGCAACAGACTGTGTAAACAGAGCTTTAACTGAGCATGTCTGGAATACTGAAAATAACTTGTGAGTGTAGAACAACAACTGACTTTCACTGGAATATGCCAAATATCTGTGGCATGTACCTAGGATTTCAGTGGATTGCCACCACAATGAGCATGCTCACACTCCAGTCTGTGTGGGCATTACTGACCTCTGTAGATTGAAGTGTTGCCCAAGCATATACTTGTGAGTATTCAGAGTGGGTTTAATTTAAAATGCCACATTGGGTATTAGCTGAATTAGTGGAGTACTACTCTTTTAGTTCACTTGGCAACAAAAAAATATTCAGTTAAAGGTCATGAATACTCTTATCTACTTTGTTAGCAGCTGCAGTTTCCACAGTATTGCAAAATATACAGTATTGGGTCCTGGAAATATTAGCAAAATCAGGGGGTGAGAATCATGTGGACTTCTAGATACTGTTGGATGTTAAGTTCTAGCAGCCTTACTCAGAATAGCCAGTGGAGAAAAATGCTGGGAACTGCAGTCTAACAGTATCTGGAAGCCAGCATGAGTCTGAACCTTTCTCAAGAGTAATTTTGTAGTAAAAGGCATACATACATCTCTCCCCCTGCAACATTTATTTCAGCTCTCCAGGGCTCCCAAGAAAATAATAGCTATAGTAATAGTGTCACTCTATTCTGCTTTGGTCAGGCCTCACCTGGAATA